ACTGTTTTTTTTTTTTTTTTTTTTTTTTTTTTTTGGTACCGGGGATTGAACTCCAGTCCTTACGCTTGCAAGGCAGGCCACTGAACTGCTGAGCTAAATCCCCGGAACTCACTGTATTTCTTGATTACTCCTTGTATATATGCCTATGTATTTCATAGAGGTTTTATTAATTGTCCAAATCTGAAAATCAACCCAAATGCCCTTCCATTGATAAAAACTGTGGTACACCCATAATATGGGACCCAGATGGTTGACATACACGGTATGAATGACTAAGTGCCTGTGCAAAATGAAAATTAGATTTAAAAAGTTACATGTTATCTGGCCTTATGTAGATGACATAGTTACAGGACAGAAAAACAGATCAGTAGTTGGCAGGCGATTGGGGTGGAAAACAGGCTCACTACAAAGGGGCTCAAGAAAACCTTCTGGATTGACAGAAATGGTCTGTATTTCGTTGCGCCAGTGGTTAAGGGTTGTATGTGCTTCTCAAAACTCGAAGAACTGCATACTAAGAAAGGTGAACTCCACTGTACAAGGGGGGACAGAAAAAAGAACCCAGAAATGAATCTATTTCAAGTACGTTTATGTTTGACAAAGGTGCCACGAACATGTACAGTGGAGAAAGGACAGGCTTCAATAAACGCCGTGGCCAAATTGGACGCACAGATACGAAAGAGTGAAAGGAGATCTTTCTCTTACAGCACTCAAAAAATTAACTCAAAATGGGTCCAAGAACTAAATGTATAACCTGAAACTGAAATGACTGTAAGAAACAAAGGAGAACTATTTCAAGACACAGGTAAATGGATACAACTTGAGAACATAATGTTAAATGAAATAAATCAGACAAGCAAGCTCAAATATCACATGGCTTCTCTTCTATAAGAAAATAAAATATGTGATAAATACAAGACGTTTAAAAATAGGTCCCCAAAGTACAAATTCCATTGTTTTAAAAATATTTCAATATATATGTTAATTGGTATCATTTATATTACTAGTTTATCTTAGTTCATTGAAAAGAAAGATTTATGTGATTATCTGTTTCTTTTTTGTAAGTCTTTTTGGTTTACGTCTTGCCCTCTGAGTAACTACTTTGAGAACAATGACACAGAGTGTAATAACTATTATTTCTTATTTGATTGTGAAATTGGTTTTTTCTTAAAATTAAAAAAATTAGTGTAAGCAAAGATATTTTATATATGACTCCAGAGTCACAGGCAACAGAAGTAAAAACAGATAATGGGACTGTATCAAACTAAAAAGCTTTGGCACAGCAAAGACACATAACAGGAAGAGATAACTCACAGAATAAGAGAAAATATTTGCAATCTGAAAAAGAATATCTAGAATATAAAATGAATTTAAAAACTGATCATCAAAAAATCCAATTGAAAAGCACTAGTAGATGCTTCTCAACAACCAAAAAGACCTACAAATGGCCAACAAGTACATATAAAAAAATGTGAAGCCAGGCATGGTGGTGCACGCCTGTACTCCCAGCACTCGGGAGGTGGAGGCAGGAGGATTGCCATGAATTCAAGGTTAGCCTGAACTACATAGCAAGACCCTGTTTCAAAAAACAAAATAAACAATCATGTACAGGCACAAATCCCCCAAGTGTTATCATTATGTATGCCTAAAGTGTATCAATAAATGTTTTGCTATTAAAAAAAAGCTTAATCTCACTGATTATCAGGGAAATGCAAAGCAAAACACAAGGTGTCATTCTACCCCAGTTATAATAAAAAAGACAAAAAAACGGGTGGGGATTTAGCTCAGTGGTTCTGCTGCCTGCCTGGCAAGCGGAAGGACCTGAGTTCGATCCCTGATATCAAAAAAAAAAAAAAAAAAAAAAA